AAAAATAATCGTGAAGTGTTAACAATAAAGCTCAAAAGTCTACATTATTTCAAGTGTATAGTATCATTTATCTAYTGATATTGTTTCTTCCATTCCATTAAGCGAATATAAGCGCGTTCAAACAGATCGGATCTATTAAACTGGTGSTGATAGATGGAAACAACTTCATTCCAAGCCACATAATATTCGTTTATATCCGTTGTTCACCATGCTCGTCTGTTATTGGCTATTCATGCGTGCTTCCATTCAATGGCTGTCAGGTACGTACTGAATGACAGACAATTGATTACGAAACGTAAACAATGGTATAAATATGCATATCTGGTCTGGTTGTAAGGTGTTTCAGAAGATCAGACGAACGTGCGAAAACGAAAGTGCTTTCATAGCATCGTAAAGCTCGTTTATTCTGTTTTGGCCCATGGATAATCTATTCTTGACATGTTGTACGAGCTGCTTTCTTCTAGTTATACTTCTCTGTTCTACCACTAAGGCTTGTATACAAGACTCTGATTGCGGTGATGGACAACAACATTGTTGTAAGTCTCATTGCACGAGCTCAAGAATCAACTGTAACAAGATTTGTTTTAGCGACGAAGACTGTTCCAGGGACTACCTATGTACACAAAACATGTGTATGGCGTGTTCCAAGCGTTATGACTGCGAGCTGAAGAGCTGTTTTAACGATTCTGATTGCCCTTCCTCGCATCGTTGTAGTAACCACATGTGCAAGAAGATAAAACCGCCAAAACAGAACTTTTCTTTACTACCGTTTATAATAATCATCTCAGTGCTGGGTTTTGCTCTTTTAGTGCTCTGTTACACAGAAGGATGCTGGAAGGAAATTTTAGCTTATTTAAAACGGTATTTTGGTCGATATGGAAGGATTGCGAGAGATGAATGCGAAGCTGATCAAAGAGACTTTTGTGAGAGCGAAAGAGGAAGTCACCGCCACTCAAACAAATCATGCGTTGATTCACAACGGATCGCAGCTACTATGTCAAGCCACACACCATCTGAACTTAATCACACACAMRMAACTAGAACGGACCGTAATTCTCCAAATACGTTACGAAATACACAGGTTATATCGCATAATAATGAAACATTAACCATGACTKTACCAGAGTCTATRCCATCCCAGTCACGACCGACATTACTGACGTCATGTACGAGTTCAACTCGGTGTCAACAAGATGAGCAAGTTCCAAATTCTGTAGATTCTGGTTGTGTGCCATCATTGTCTAGCACACTGGAAGTAACAAGAAATACTTCTCCATTACCACCGAATTACTGTTCTTTGTTTAGTGAAGAAGGCGAAGAGCCTCCTCCGAAGTACGAAGATGTTGTCAACAACATGAACGCTTGTAGTCCAATTTGCATTGAAATGCAGTCGATGCGGTCTGAAACTGTTACGATAAATCAAAACACGGAAACTACTGTATAAAACTGAAAATAAAATAGAAGACATTTTTATTTATTTTATTTGTAAATGAAGTTAAGAAATGAGCAAATGACTTTGACAGACACATTTTCCCCTTTGCACCCTTAGGGTTAAACAAGAATCTAAAAATGAAAAAAAAATTTTTCCCCCGACCTTACAATTGTTAGCAAAAAAGTTTATTACAAATTACTGAATAGTTTTTTCAAACGCAGAGGTTATTATATATTATATTTATCAAAATACAACCTTATGTAATATAATTCAATATGTTTGTGTACATGTGACACAGATTTTCCTAAAAAATAGTGTATGATATATATTTTGTTTTTGACAGTGTTTAATTTTCTCCTAGTATTTTTTGACTGCATAATTATTTATTTCAGTTGCTAAATATTTGATTTATTTTATTTTTATTGTAGACACAACAACACAACAACATTCCACTTTGAAATGAATTTTAATGACATATTGTTAAATCGATAACGTTGACTTTAAAAAAGTTTCAGTGCAAGAAGACTTTAGCCATGAAACTAGAAGAAGACAGAATAAATGAAATAAAATCTTTGATATTGATTAAAATTAAGTGTTTTGAGTGCAAAATGATTGTCGTCAGGCGGGTAGTATCCGTGGACGCTATGACAGGAAGTGACGTTGATAGATTTGTGACAGGAAGAGGAAGGGTTTTCGCTCGTTTAGTTGCGTCTCTTTTAGTGCGACAAGTCGGAAGCTTCCAAGTTGTCGATCACTACAGAAAGAACGTTTTTTTTTTTTTTGCAGGATTTTTTCGGCCCCATAAAGCCTACTGGTACATTATGAAAGAGGCCATCCATCCATCCATCCATCCATCCATCCATCCGTCTGTCCGTCCGTCCGTCCAGGAATTGCTCCGCGGGCAAACGAGCTTCAGTAAATGTGGCTCTCGTAGTCAGTGAGGCCATTCGTTATTAATGGTACTCGCCTTCAGGCTCGTGTAATTACATGAACTTTCAAAACATCCCTAATACTGCCCTATTGTTAAAGAATAGCACTCGAGGTCGTGAGATTTCCGATGCAAGTACGCAAAAAAAAAAAA